GGGGGGGGCCAGGGAAGGAGAGGACAGCACTGTTACCAGGGCCCTCACCACACGTGCCTACGGCTCACCAGGGGGTGCCTGTGCCAGGCTAGCACAAGGATGCTGATCCTGACCTCTGCTCCCAGCACTGAGCACAGGGCTCTGGGGCTCTGGGGCTCTGCCGCCGGAGGTGGGCTACAGGCTGGGGTCAGACACCAAGGAGCCAACAGGGCGTCTGAGACCTGGGGCAGGGGTGGTGGACACCTGAACCTCCCATGGTTCTCCAAGAGGGCCATTTCAAAGGAGTGTGTTAGGGGAGCACAGTAGTGTATACCTGCAGCCCCAGCACTGTGGGAGGCTGAGGCAGGAGGATCGCCAAGTTGGAGGCCAACCCGGGCAACTTAGGGACTTAACAGAGCTGGGGGAATTACTCAAGGGAAAGAGCCTCACTTCTATACCAGGTTTTGTGAACAGAATGAAGCCTCCTTTAGGGGAAAGGAGGGTACAGAGTTGTTTTTTCTCTTCGAGATAGGGCTGTTGTCTCCTGGGTGCCAGGTGCATGCCCATGCCAGCCACCAAGCTTCTGTGCCTCCCTCAGCCAAAATGGTGCAGCCACTCTACCTGTAAGTGGCCCGCAGAGTAACAGCCTGGCTCAGTGACCCTGGCCTCAGGCCCAACCCCAATGCAGAAGTGGACAGGGCAAGCACAGGCTGCTGCAGCAAGACCCCATAATCCAACGCAACAGAGACAGAGACAAAACCAACTCACCCCTTGGCTTCCTTGAAATCGGATCGTCGGTCTCAATGACACAGAATCCTACAACCAAACAAAATGGGAAAATGTCAGCACAGACTAAGAAACCCAGGCAGACTTTCCAGCTACACAAGAGCAGAATGGCGACACTGTTGCCAAGGGAAGCAGGAAGAACATGCATGTGTCTTAACACTTCAGGATGGGTCACTGGAGCCAGATTTTGAAGCATCAACAGGAGTTCCTCTGATGGATACAGGACTGGGGCCACAAGAAAGTCGAAACCAGCGCCTCAAGCCAGGCAACCTTGACAGAGGTTGGCAGTGGGCCTGGGACCGTGGGTCAGGAGTTTGCGCGTGTCCTGGAGGCTGTCACTGGGCTGTGACTCTGAGGGGGAGGTGGGAGAACTGCAAGACTTCGTGCAGGAAATGAAGGCAGGACAAGGTGACCAGCCACACCCACTCCCGACACCTCACGCAGCGCTATAAGCGCATTGAGCCATCAGCTCGGCCGAGTGCCACCTCGCAATGGCCCCTCCAGAGGGTGGCCAGGCAGCAGACACAGAGGGACAGGCGGCACAAGGGGGGCAGCAAAGCCTACAGGGCCTGCAGGACATGTCCATGTGTCCACCCCAGATAGGTGATGCCGGCACAGCAGCAGATCAGGGTGCATCGGGGGCCCAGGCGGAAACTGCCCGCAGGACTCTGGTGCCATCTGGGGACACAAAGGACAGGTGGGGGACAGGACAGCTCCCATCGTGAACCCTTTCTCCCAGTGCGGGCTGGAGCCTGGGCTCTGTCAACTTGGAGGGCTGGGGCAGAATTCAGGGTCATTGCAGAGCCACATTCTCAGCCCTTTATTTTTTGTTCTCAAGCAGGCGAAGCTACTCAATTACCCAGGCTTGAGCTGGAGATCTTCCCACCTCAGCACCCCAGCGCTGGTTATAGGCGTGTGCACTGTGCCTGGCTCGGCTAGGCCAGGAAGGTGTGCTCCTGCTGGAGCGGGGCTGAGGATGTGGCGACAGCACTGTGACTGCTGTCTGGTCCCCATCCTGTATGGCAGCCAGGAGCAGGTGCAGCGCAAACATGGGGCAGCCAGGATGCCTACCAAGGGCCATGGCGCACAGGACGACTGCTCCCATAGCCCGTCTGATCCTCCCGCCCTCCCACCTCTCTCCTCCCCTCCCAGAGGCCTCTTCCTGCTCTGGGGCACCCTAAGACCAAGGCTCCCCCCAGGAGGAGGAGACGTGCAGGTGTATTCCTCTCAGGTTGGGTGCCAGTCCTTCCCTCACAGGCCACGGTGGCCCGCTATCCCCTCCCCTTCCACACGTGCTTACAGTGACCCCTTGCACACCTGGCTTGGGAGCCACAGCCTGGCCATCGCTGGGGCACAAGTGGGACAGAGGATGGCTGGGCAGCCCAGCCCCATCACCCCTCAGGCAGCAGCCTGGGCACCTTCACCATCACCATCAGCCAGGAGGTCACACTGGCCTGAGTGGGGCACCAGGACCCACATGCCACCCCCCACCCCCGTCACAACTCCTGGGGTAGCATTGAAGCAAGGGCACAAAATCAAGTCCCTGCAGCAGAGCTGAAGAAAAGTAGGCTTCCTGAAGAATTCCAAGTGCGCTGAGATGACTCACATCACCAGCCCTACACCAGTGGGGGCACCGGCCCTTCTGTGGCGGTGCTGGGAACGGGCCCTGCTTAGGACTACAGCCAAGACTCTGGCCCTGCACAGCATCCGCAGGTTGCAGCACCGCCGTAAGGTGCACTTTGCCTGCAGGACACCTGCTGCCTTCATCCCTGGGGCCTCCGGAGGTGAAGCCCTGCCCATCAGGGGCCCCGCCTCGCCTGTGAGCGGTGTCAGCCTCACTGGCTCCCCCCACGGCCCAGTGACTGGGGGCCATGGACACAGCCGCTGCTTCAGCACTCACACAGGTCTTGGGGCGGCACAACATGCCCAGGGCTCTGGGGCAAGCATGGTATGTGGCACCGGGATCAAACTCAGTCCTTGTGCTTACCAGGCAGGCACTTGGACCACTGAGCTATCTCCCTAGTACCACCATTGCCATTTTTTTTTTGGGGGGGGTCAGAACCAGGGATTGAACTCAGGCCCTACTGAGCTATCTCCTTAGTCCCAACCATTGTCATTTTTTGAAACTGGGTCTCAGTAACTTTGAGTTCTAACGGTAGGTTCATGCCTGCAATCCTGCATCAGCCTCCCCAGATGCTGGGGTTACAGCTGCGGAAGCGCACTCAGCTCCTGCTTTGGCCTCCTGGCAGCAGACATGGTGGGTCAGGCTGCAGGAACCCAAGGGGGGCACTTCAGAGTCGTCACCTACTTGGCCCCTCAAGGAAGCTTCCTGCTCACAGCTGGGAGCTGGTGGGACCTGGAGGAGGACAAAGGACTGGGCTGCACCTCCAAAGCCTGGGAGCAGAGGGGAGCAGATGGAAGAGTGCTGGTGACACTAAGCCCTGAGCCAGGCAGAGCTGGACCAGTGCTGGGTGCGTATGCTGTTCCCGTGGGGAGGGTTCCTCTCAAAGGACTACACAGCCATGCGGAGCCAGCTAGTCCCTTGGGCTTTGTGAGGAGGGAGACAAGCGGGCAAACCCCATCAGCCAGGCCCGGCTGCAACACTGTTCAAGGCACTACTGCCTCACCACACAGCAGGTTCTGGGCACCGTCAGGGTCCCTATCACTGCAGTGGCACTTGGGACAGCCTGGAATGGGTGTGGACCAGATTGGGAACTCAGGATGCACACGGCGGCCATCTCCAGAGCTGGGGAGGAGCGCACCTCAGGCAGATGCACTGTGGCCCCGTCCCTGGAGGCCCCTAGGGAGCCTCTAGCAGACAGCGCTGATGAACAGGCCTGCTCAGGCCTGGGGGCTTGCCAGGCACTCCCCAGAGACAGATGGTACACAGGAGCCATGCTGTGTGCTGAGGGCACTGTGACAGTGGAAAAAGGTCTTGCCCAGGCTGAGACACCACACAGAGGACAGGCCCTGCAGGGACAGGGACACGGGGCCCCACAGTCACCACCAGAACGCCGAGCACAAGCAGGCAAACCCCACCAGCCCTGCCACAAGGACAAGACTATGGCAAGATCTCACTGCCTTGTGGGGAGAGTCGGGGTGGGGGTGAGAACTGGTGACTGCTGGCCCAGACCTTTCCTGCTGACAGGGTGCCCGAGGAGGAAGCTAGCGATGACCCAGAAACCCCTGATCTGTTCCCCAAAGCCAAGAGGCTTCCGAGGTGAAGCAACAGGAAGTGCTTGCGAAATCCACCCTGCAAGTTGACAGAAGTGTTGAGCTGGCAGGAGTCTTGCTAGCCGCACTCAGCCCAGGGCATGGGAGCGCATTCAGGGCAGGGTGCCAGCACCTGCTGCCTGACACCCACAGTGCTCGGGACACCCCCTGCTACTCCAGGGGACCCTGCCCTGGAAGCCAGGGATGCTTGAGTAAGTAAGAAACCCACTTCCTTCATCAGACGAATGGCAGGAGAAGCACATGGCCCCATGGGAAGGCCACCATCGGACCCCAGGGCCAGGGCCGTGCAAAGGTGGCCACAGTCATGAGGGCTGCCGGGGGGGGGGGGGGGGGGTGCGTTCAATGAGAGAAACCCATCACTGAACCTGTCAAGGTGCAGGCAAAGATACCCGGTGCAGTGACGCAAGCACCTCTGCAAAGCCAGCAGCTGCCGGCCTAGGCCGCCATGGGGCCCGCCTGCCCCGTGGCTTGGACAGCCCCATGCAAGGGCAGCGCCTTCTTCCCTCTCCACACAGCCCTACCCAAGGCAGGGAGCCTGGGGGCACAGGCGGGGACAGCCCTGGCTAGCCTGCCTGGCAGGGAGCCCCCCTCTCCCCCAAGCACAGCATCCAGGAGCTGCTGCTTGCCTCCTCCCTGAGAATCCTTGGTAGGAAGAAGGCAGGCTGTCAGGGCTACAGTGTGCACTCTGACCAGGGCCAAGAGGAAGATCGCCCATGTCAGGATGCTGGGGGGGGGGGGAGTCTGGAGAGTTCACCCCAGTGGGGCCAAAAGAAAGTCATCTGACTGCTGGAGGGCGCAACAGCTGTGTGGAGATCAGCAGTCCGCCAGCCTCAGTGACAGGTGTAAGCTGAACAGCCACACAGACGAGTACAGGGAAAGTTGAAGAAGTTCTACTGTGGCCCTTCCAGCTACTGAGGAGGCTGAGACAGGAAGACTGCGAGTTTGAACCTAGCCTGGGCAACTTGGCAAGACTCTGAAAATTTTAAAAAGTCTATGGCCATACCACGTGTTACTGTCTGTATCTAGGTGTCCTCCCAAAGCCTCATTTGGTCAGCTTCTAGGGTTTGTGATTAATTCATGAGCCAAGGCTGGGATTATGGGTCTGAGTACTGCTGGGATTATGGGCACTACAGCCATCCAGTGCACACAGCCTGAAGGCAACAGAAAAGAGGAGAGGCTTGCCGCTGCCCCCTCTGCCTTGGCTCTTTGCTGCTTTCTACTGACATGAGCTGCTGCTCTCTGCCATGTGGCACTCTGCCTTGCAGCCAGCCGAGTATGGACTGAAACCTCCACAAACTGTGAGCTACTTTGTCCCAGCAATGACAGGAAAGTACCTGAGACACCACCCTTAACAAGCCCAATCCCATCAAAGTAAAAATACGAAGGGCTGCAGTTGTAGCTTGGTGACACAATAACTGTCTACATTCATTAAGCCCTGGTTTCCATCCTCAGTAATACCAAAAATAAATATAATAATAATAATAATAATAATAATAATTAATAATTAATA